CCACACAATTCTGGGAATCATGGCCCAGCCAAATTGATACACACATTTTTGGGGGGACATAATTCAAACCATGACAGATTGAAATTTAAGCACTTAGATTAAAAAATTAATCCTGTTGAAGTAAGAAGTAGGGGACTTTTTTGTTTGTTTAACTGCAGTTTATGTTTAAAAAGCCCCTGAAGACTGATGAACGTGAAATTGAGATGACCGTTGGGGAGAAGATGTGATCGCTGAGAGCGACACGGGAATTTCACACTTACTAGTAATATTTTATTTCTTAAGCAGAGTGGTGAGTCCACGTAATATTCTTTATAGCCTTTTATTTGCTTTAAATATTTAATAAATTAAACCAGACTCCAGAAGCTTTAGTGGACCATTAGTTCGGTAGACGTGATGAAGTGTCTACAACAAGTGAAGCAGTAAATTAGTGTCTGAGAAGAATCTTTCTGTTGATGGCACTTCACAGCCCATATTTGGGGTACGGTTCAGTCCTGAGTACCACGTATGAAGAGGGACACTGTAGATGCATAAATATTAGGGTGCATTCAGAGAGGTGATGGCTATGGAAACTAGTATGAAAAACAGTTGCGGGAGATGGGTAATTTCTAACCAATGAAGAAATGACCAAGGGGAGGTGTGATGACAGCTATTTAAAGGAACGTCATGTAGAAGAAAGAGTAGATATCTTCTTCAGAAGGACAAAATGAGGGCCATGGATGGAATCAGTTTTCTACACAATGGAAGGAAGCACTTTCTGATAGGCTGCCTTCAGTGGATCAGACTGATATGGGAGTTCAGTTTTCTACTGGCAGCATTCAAGAAGGTGCTGGACTCCTACCTGCAGGGATGCTGTGAGGAGCCTTCCTGCAACGAGGGGGCGATGCACCTAGGTGACCTCCAGCCAAACCAGTCCGACTCATGGTGACTCCATGTGTGTCAGAGTAGAACTGTGCTCCATAGGGTTTTCAGTGGCTGATATTTTGGAAGTAGATTGCCAGGACTTTCTTTTGAGACACTTCTGAATGGACTCGAACCTCCAGCCATCAGTTAGCAGCCAAGCGCATTACAAAACTGTTTGCCCCACTCAGAGACTTCAGTTGATCTCCAAACCCTTCTTAATTCCTCAGTTTCTAAAACATTGAAGACTTGAGCAAATATGACACTTTCAGCATTACAGTGTGATACTTTGGTTCAGAAAAGGTAACAGAAGCCCTTGTCACTTGTATTTCTCCTGCCTAAGTCTAACTTCTGATGTGTATTCCACACAAAGTGTCTGTGCCTGCAGAGAAGGTGACATAGGTGATATGACTTTGTCACACCTAGAGCTTGCATGTACACATATATAGCAGAAGTGTAATTAAGGCAGCCAGAACTTCAGTGTGCAATTGGAGCGCTCCCTTCTTCAGTGTTACTTGGGCATACTTTTGATTGAATAAGGTATTGTAGTAATGATTATTTTTTAGTATAGTTTGCTTGAGTTGGAAAGTCAGAAATTTTGAGACAAACAAGCTGAGCTCTTGGATCCTGACTATTTTTTACTTTGAAAAATTTGAGCCTCTTTCTGCTGCCACGGGCCGGATAGAAACCCTTTATAGATTTAATAAAAGTTCCGTATGAGAAAGTATGTTGTGGTTGTTGTTAGGTGCTGTCGAGTCGGTTCCTACTCATAGCGACCCTATGTACAACAGAAGGAAACACTGCCTGGTCCTGTGCTATCCTCACAATCGTTGCTGTGCTTGAGCCCATCGTTGCAACCACTGTGTCGATCCATCTCATTGAAGGTCTTCCTCTCTTCCACTTATCCTCTTCTTTGAGGTAATTCTTTCCCAGTCATATTTTGAGTGCCTTCCAACCTGAGGGGCTCATCTTCCGGCTTTGTATCAGACAGTGTTCTGCTGCTATCCATGAAGTTTTCACTGTCCAGTTTTTTCAGGAGTGGACCGCCAGGTCCTTCTTCCTAGTTTATCTTAGTCTGGAAGCTCTGCTGAAACCTATCCACCGTGGGTCTCAGGGTCAGCCAGAGTTGAGAAATTAGGGCCTTCTCAGGTTTTTCCTGGTCATGCACACAGTCCTATTAGTGCACGTGACATGCTTCATTCCCAGGAATATGTCAGAGATTTTCAAAGCCCCCTGTGGACATCCCATTTCCCTTAAGTTTTTTGGTCAGCCTTTTGTTCATCCCAACTGATAATGTCACCTCAGACCACTGCAATGTTCAACAGTTTCCTTGACTGTTTTTGACAAATACCCTGGGATAGGACTGAGTGAGCTCTGATTCAGGTCAAATATAGACAAGCCCTGAGAATGGAGCTTTTCAGTGAGTTACCAGGCAGGTCAAATAGTAACAGTTCTCTGGGGATGGGACTTTTGGGGAGCCTCAAACCTGTTCTGCCCTCCCCAGTGGCTGCTAGGCTGCTGGTTTTCACAACTACCATAGTTATGAGGCTGTCGGCTTTCAAGGATACTTTGGAGCTAGAGGGAGGAGGGATGGGATTAGAGAAAGTTAAAATGCCAGTAAGGTTCCTGTACTTACCAAGATTCCACTGATTTTTCTTGAATAAGTACTCCTTGGAATGTTGCAGGCCTTTAGTTAATTGAGAGAGTTATGAAAAAGTTGATTTTGACCATTTTTGCCAATATTCTCATTGATTTAATGGAGGCGGAGATTTTTGGAGGTCTTTCCTCTACCACCCTGGACGTGAACTCCCTATCAGTATTTTATTAAATGAGGCACACTTGTGCAGTGAGCACCTACCATGCACATGCTTGTGTGCTCCGTCTCATTTTGTCTCATGTTCTCTCTTATCTGTGTATTTGATGTCTTGAAGTGGCCCTAAAGGAGTGTTACAGAGCACATGTTACTGTAAACTACTGGTCACTGCTCTCATTTTTTTTGAAGTAAGTTGCAACCTTAGAATGGGGAGCAGACCTTACACCCTTGATTCCAAGTTACTAGACTGTGCTACAGACCCCATATCATGTTGATCTGCTAATCCTGCCAGCACAGTCCATCTCTTGCAGTGCGGCCAACTTTGTACATTATCCTGTGATGAAATCCATCACTCCCCTAAGTTAGGGTTGGAAAAAAACAACTAATAACCTAAAATGGCCCATTTCCTCTAGATACTGTTGGGATTTGAAATTCAGTCCAGACATAATGTTAATTTCTCTATGTCAGATTTTACAGTCCTAGTTAACAGCTTGAGTTTTCTGTTAAATATATTTTTTTAATCTGTACATTTAAAACCTATTTTCTCACATCTAATAAGAATTTGAGTTTCTTTGTGACCAGAGGAGCCCTGGTGGCACAGTGGTTAAAGGATTCGACTGCTAACCGAAAAGTTGGTGGTTTGAATCCACCAGCCACTCCTTCGAAACCCAATGGGACAGTTCTTCTCTGTCCTGTAGAGTTGCTATGAGTCGGAATTGACTGGATGGCAACAGGTTTGGTTTTTTTTGGTACGTGACCAGAAGTCTGTTGGTTTTCAAGTCTGCTCTGGTGCTAGGGAGCAGCCCTGGTGGCACAGTGGTTAAAGTGATTGACTGTTAACTGAAAGGTCAGTGGTTCATAACCACCTGTGGCTCCTTGGGAGAAGGATGTGGCAGTCTCCTTCTGTTGAGAATGCTTCCATTGAGTTATGGATAATTATTTGGTTACATCCTTTAATCCCAGAGGCTATCAGTCTCCAATTCTGTAAAATGGAAATACAAATGCCTATTGGTAAAAAGTAAAGAAATTTTGTTCTGAAAATCTGTATATGATTGTATAGTTATTAACTTGTTAAAGTGTGTATTTTTTGTCTCTTATATGTTAGATAATCATTTAATCAAGTAGTCTAAAATGCAATATTAGGTGGTAGTACAACAATTTTGAGATCTTGAAAGATAAAACTGGAGACATTTGCTTGTATTTTTTTTCACCTCGGAGTGTTTTGTTAACGAGACATTTTATACTGCCATAAACCCAGGGCAATAATAAAGGTGTTGATTGATTTTTGGATGACAAGGGGCTTCTCTAATTGCAGAGTTTGACATTTGTGTCACTTCTGCTGTTTTAGGTGAGTAAGACGTGGAAGGTGATTGCAGAAGATGAAGTGCTGTGGTACAGACTGTGCCAGCAGGAAGGGCACCTTCCCGAGAGCAGCATCTCTGATTATTCTTGCTGGAAGCTCATCTTCCAAGAGTGCCGAGCCAAGGAACACATGTTAAGGACCAACTGGAAGGTAGGCAGTGGCCAATACCATTACCTGTAGAAGAATAGCCAGCCAAGGCTACAGGAGTCCAAGCTGGGGATTAAACTCAGTCCCTTGAATTATAACCGGAGGTTAATTGCCAAAAGTGATGGGGGAGGAGTGTGGTGCACATCCCCATCAGCTGTTGGTGACTTGTTGTCCGTTAGAATAATTGCCCCATTTTCAACCACACGGTTTAGGAGCATCCTCTTGGTCTCCAGGAGACAAAGGGTGAGATTGGGTGGCTAGCCAGTTGCCCTCTGATGGTTTGAATCTTTGGGGCCCCCTTTCTTTTACTTTTACCAACTCTCTGGATGGACAAAGAAAAAGCACCACGTGAATACAAAAGAGGAGCTGAAAACTGTTAGTTCCAGTAAATGTCAGAGAGAGATTATTAAGTGTCTCTAAGTACTGTATTCTTTTCCCTCACATAACCTATTGGCTTGCATCCATAACATTTATCACTTCAAAATCTCTACAGAAATATTAGATCACAGCTTAGAATCTGCACAGTGAAGTGTTTCTATAGGAAATAACTGTCAGGAACAGTGTTACATAAAGCTGTCTGAAGCATGACAAGACATCAGTGTGGTGGTGGTTCTTTTCCACCTGGATATTTCCAGCTGGATATTCAGTTGTCTAGAAAGGGTAGAATGATACTCTTTCCTCTCCTGTAAAGGTCAATCCTAATAGACTTTGAGGTTAACAAGCTTTTGCTCATTACTGATGATGACATATTGCCTGTGTGCATGCCTGTCCCTAGTCACCTCATAACCTAATTAGTGACAGATACTCTTGATCTGGGCAACCTCACTAGTTTCTAGCGAGGTAAGAACAGTCTTTCTCTAATTTATGGTTTTATGACCACAACACTGCTGACATTTTGGGCCTGATAATTCTTTGTTGGGGAGGGGGCTGTCCTGTGCATTGCAGGAGGTTGAGTAGCACCTACCCATCAGATGCCAACAGCATTCTCCCTTTCCCTTCAGTTGTAAGAACCAAAAATGTCTCCCACATTGCCAGATGTCTCCTAGCGGGCGAAATCGCCCCTTGTGAGAATCACTGTTCTAGGGCCAGTTAGCCTAGCTACCCTTTCTTAGGCCATTAAGACACCACCACTAAGTAAAACCATGCTGGCCCTACAGGGTCAGTTTGCATCCATGCAAGGTAATAAACTCATCTTTTGGGGACCCACTCAGCCCTCCTGTCTGTGGGCCTGATTAGGCTGGTGTGATGGACACAAGTGAAAGGAAGGGATGAAGATCTGAAAAAGGAAGCAGTTAAAAGACAAACTGGGACCAGAAAGCAGAGGATCTGACCCTGGGCTGAGGGGTGGGGTGGGGGGATTTAAAGAAGGCTAGAGAGTTGAGTGTTAACTGGGGCCTCTCAGTCCAGAGAGACGTGATAGTTGAAGGGGGATTTGTGAGTGAGGCTGCCAGAGATAGTCATTGTCCCCTGGCTCAAATTCAGAGGTGTCAGACCTGGACGGAGAATGTAGCAGGTAAGTTTTTTGCTTCCTCTTTGGTATTAGAGAAAGCGAGGGAGGGAGACAGGTACAGCCTCATCATTTGGGCTGGAGGCAGTAGAAGTAAAGGTGTTTACAGATCCACCTTAGAGCATTTGGCACTTAATAACAGTTACATACAATGTAACTGAACGTCTATTTTTATTTTTCTCTAACAAGCACGAAACCATATGTTCAGTAGGTGCTCAGTACAAGGTTGTTGATTGAGTGAACTGGAGTAAAACTGCAGGCAGAATATAAGGGAGCTTCTATTTGGAGTGTCTTGGGCCAATTTCCTGACACTGTTAACAATGAGGACTACATAAGTTAAATTTTAAATGATGAATCTTTCCTTAAATGTAACAGTGGGTTTCTTAACATAATTATAGAATGGAAGCCCTATAGAAAAATAAAGGGTCCTGTTAGTGCAAGTTGCTTTACCTTTGTATGCCTCTGGTTTTGCTTCTGTAGAGCCGGGCTAAGAGCAGCAGCACTGATGGGTTTGTGGTGAGGATGACTGCAGCAGTACTTCTCACGCACCTCCCGCAGAGCTGGCTCACGTTCAGTGCTAAATCACCGCTGGCCATAGATGCTCCTAGGGCTTTGCACACATGTACAGTGATTCAGTGCTCCTTATGGTCGACTTCAGGATGGGTTGGGCAGGTGATTTGGTGTGATATCTCCCAGGTCAGTGTCTGGGGAAACCCTCAAAGAAACCCCAGAATTCTCAGGAACCTCCACATAGGAGGTGACCTGCAAATGCATGAACTTAACCTGGACCTGCAGTTGAGATCCAAACTGGACACGGTTTGCATAAACTCTTTTTCCCCTCTGGTATTCTAGAATCTCTCTGGGATGAGAATACCAGTGTGGGTATGGAGCCCATGAGGGGCAGGGAGGCCACATGACAGAAATCGGTGAATGCCAGACGCACATGGGCTTTCGTCTTAGGCGCTTGTTTTTCTTCCAGTGTCTCAAAAGAGCTTTTCTACTCTGGTCACTTTTGCTGTGGCCCTCACACAGATGACTCCCAAATCCTTACCTCTCCGCCCTATATCATCACCAGCAGGAAAGCTCCGCTTGGATATGCTTGATTTTATCCATCAGCCTTAGACTTGGCCCTCAGGTTAAGGAAGATCATTATGCAGATAATCAGATCATCTTATACAGTGCCTGGGACACAGCTGCTTAGTAAATGTTGATTTTAAATGGAACGGATGTCATCATCCTTCTCCTAATAATATAAATAATATAATAATAGCCACCACCATTTATTGAACACTCACTGTATGTTAAGAATTGTGCTTGGCACTTACACTATTTCTAATCCTTGTGCCAGTCCTGCAAAGTTGAAATTATGGCTTACTTGGTATTCTTGAATACCTTTATTCACGCTTGCTTTTTGGCTTTAACTGTCTTCCTCTTTTTCACCTTCCTCATGTAAAAACTTTATATTTGTCAAGATTCCCTTTATTTTTATCTTAAAAATAGTGTAATAAACCCATTGTTGTTGAGTTGATTCTGACTCATAGTGACCCTACAGGACAGAGTAGAACTGCCCCATAGGTTTCCAGTCTGTATAGAAGCAGATTGCCACGTCTTTCTCCTGTGAAGTGGCTGGTGCTTTGAACTGCTGACCTTTCGGTTAGCAGCCCAGTGCTTAACCACTGTGCCATTAGGGTGCCTAAAATATCTATATATATTTATTTAATCAATGAAGTATTGATCACAGTACAGTAATTCAGAATTCACGAAAGGGTATATAGTGAAAAATACATCTCCCGCTCACCTCTCTCCATCTACCACTGAGTGTCCCACCTCAGGAGGAACCTGTGTTAGGGGTTTTTAGGGTTTCCTTTGATACTATTTTCATGAAACCTCTAACCTCTCAGTCAGAAATAATTTCTTCTCTTCTTCCTTTTCCCCCAATCCTGATTTTTATCTGTTTGTGTATCTGTGTGTGTGTGTGTGTGTGTGTGTGTGTGTATAGCTATTTTATTCTAAGCGTTCTTGTAAGTGTTGTTAACAGGTAACATATCACTCAGTACTTTCTCTTCTCTGAACTGTACTTCTCCTACACTTTATATACAGGTAGTCCCCAACTTATGATGGGATTTCGTTCTGACAACTCTGTCGTAAGTTGGTTCTGACTTAAGTCGAATACATCTTTTTATTTTAGTTTTCATTATAATTATATATCAGTATCTATAAACTTTATTTGTCTTTAGGGGTTGGAAATATTACATATAAACATCTGTGAGTGAACATCTAAGAATCATATCATCACCAAATTACATGCTGCAACATTGTATGTAATAATAAAAAACAAACAAACAAAAACAGTCATAAATGTGGTTCGTTGTAACTTGAATACGTCGTAAGTCGGGGACTACCTCTACTTGCCACTGCCGGCAGATACTTACCAGTCTAGTGTGTTGTGCCCATATTTCCTTTATTATCCTGTAATCCCCTTTAGGACAGGGGCAGCATCTCACTCATCCCCTGCCAGAGTTTAGTACCTTTCATGGATTTGGTAACTTGAACATGCTTAATTGCTTAACATGTTAGTTGTTGTTGTCTTCCTTTCAAATGCCAAGATGACTTTGAATGCAGTATATGTGTCAAAAATCGCTATGGAACGTAGATGAAAGCTAAATGCTTTGTCTTCGGCAATCCCAGGAATAGTATAAACTGCACCCCCCTTTGTCCTTCTGCAGAATCGCAAAGGTGCTGTGAGTGAGCTGGAACATATTCCTGATGCAGTTTTATGTGATGTACATTCTCATAATGGAGTGGTCATTGCTGGGTAAGCAAAAAATATTTTTTTAATTTAACACTCTTCATCTTAAGGCCTTTCTTTTTTCATGTACCACCGTCTGAGTACCGGTGACCTTATCTTCCCTTGAGAGTTTGTACCTTTCTCAGTCACGGCCCATGTTTAAGATGGAAAATCTCTGTGATTCCCTTCTAAGTGTTTGAGATTTGAGGGCTCTAAAGTTAGTGGTGAGAAGCAAGTAGTGTCAAGCAGATCTGTAATCCATTTATCTCAATATGTCTTTCCTAGCTTTTAAATCACTCTTGTGGCATTGTAATGTTAGATTTTCTTTAAGGTAAACAGTTTGCATTTTTTTGAAGACGTAAAAAAGTCAAGCAAGAATAATAAGTGTTGGCACAAAGTGGCTCTTTTCTTATTTTCTTTTTCTGAAGCCTTTATTATGAGGAAGGGCTGTGGCCACACATATGCTTCCTTACCCACCACATAGTACGTATTTGCTGTTTAAGTTGTCCTGAAACAGGCTTTTTATGTGTCTCTATGGTCAAGAAATTTAATTTTAGCATCTGTAAATCTCTTTGGCTTCTGTTCCAAAAACCACTTTCATGAATTCTTCATATTTTGCTACAGAGATGCATTTATGTCTTTCTTAGTGTACAGTATAAAGATCAGTTTTCTTTTGGATTAGGAAGGCTGTCTTGAACCACAGTCTCAATGAATATACTTAAGCTGCCACAAAGTAGAGACCAGAAGAACGTTTAAAGTTCCGAGTCTGGATTGGGTTTGGAGTGAGCCACCTAAGAGAGGTTCCTACCTATAGGAAACAAAATAAACCCTGGACTTAAAAACTTGGTAGTAGGTGAGTCTTTTTCGTTAGACAAAAACCTTTCCTTAGGAAGCATTCATTAAAGAGCAGCCTTTGAATTAGCCAGCTAGTCAGATTATTGTAATATTTTGTAGTATGCAGTGCCTATGAAAAAAATATTTTTACTTTAAACATGTCCAGGAGAAACACTTTTCTCTAGCTTCTCTTTACTGGCCGCAATTTAGAGGCTAATGCCCTTCTTGGGAGTGTTTCTGTTATTTTTAGAAAGATTAATGGGCCAGAAATCTGGCCTTCCGTACCTCTAGTTATCAGTGAAGGAGCCCTGGTGGTGCAGTGGTTAAGTGCTCAGCTGCTAACAGAATGGTTGATGGTTTGAACCCACCCAGCGGCTCTGCAGGAGAAAGACCTGGCCGTCTGCTTCCATAAAGATTACAGCTGAAAAACCCTGTGGAGCAGTTCTTCTCTGTCACATGGGGTCACTATGAGTCAGAGTCTACTTACCGGCACCCAGCGACAACAGTTATCAGTGTAACATCGGGCTTCTGCACCTCTTTGGTAGAACGTGGGCCTAAGAGCCCATGGTTTGTAAGGTTCTTTCCTGCTCACTAATTCTGAGATTCGGTGGTAACTCCGAAAGGCACTTACATTATTCTAATTTCAACGGGTCCCTGCCTAGTGAGTCAAAAGGTGCTTGATGACAGAACGTTGAGATTAGACTAAAAGAGCAATAAAAGAAATTAGAAATAAAGGAGAGACTTTCACCTCAAAAGCCAGTTACGAATTTCTTGTCTGGATGTGGACCTCACGAAAGGAAGGCTGTGAATACTGATGCCAGGCCCTCTTTCCCTGCCTCTCTGTTCCCTTAAGGTCTCTTCAACATTACTGATTATGCCAGCACAAAGCAAAGCGATGGCAGAGTTTTGTGGATCGATAAGATGAAACTTGATCTGTGGGTCAGAGAGGCTCCTCACGTCTCCTCTTTCCAAGAGAACCTCATGTTTATGGCCTGCCATCAGCTACTTCTGTCTTGCCTGTATGTGGAGCATCTTGTGTTTATCATTAAATTTTTATCTGGTGGTTACGATGCTTGTTTTCTGGGTCAGCTCTTGAATCCCTTTTCATTTAAGACAGTGATGTTTGTGGTTACCTCATTCCCAATCAATGTTGTATTCACCAGGCTCTCTACAGTTATGTATCTCCAAGGAGTTTCTTAAAGAGACCCCCCACCCTTTCTTTCTGTTGTAGTTATCTTGCGTTTCTCTTATTTTTCCTCTTCACTCCCTTTTTTCTTTCTTGTATGTAAATGGAATCTGTTCAGGGACTTCATTTTATGTATCTAGAGCTAAAGTATATAACATTTTTGCATTTAAACCTATTAAATGTATTTCATATAATTGATGGAGAGCAAAGACTGTTCAGAAATCTCTTGCTTCTTCCCACCTTTTCAATTCTCCATGTAAATGTTCCTCGTTTGGGGTTGTGTTACCTAGGCCTAGACTTTTTTTTTTTTTTCTTTTTGTGGTAAAATACATATAACATAAATCGGACCATTTTAACCGTTTTACAGTGTATAATTCAGTGGCATTTAGTACATCACACTATTGTGCAACTATGACCGTTATCTAGTTTCAAAACATTTTTATCACCGCAGAAGGAGACCCCGTACCTAATAGTAATCAGTTGCCATTCTCCACTCCCCGCAGCACCTGGGAACCACTAATCAGTTTTCTGTCTCTGAATCTACCTCCTAGACTAATTTTTATTACAGTGATCCTCACAATTGACCCAGTCTTGGTTCTTCCCTAGAACCAACTCTTCTTTCCACACGAACCGGAGTAACTTAAATACTCTTGCACCGTTAAACTCACTTGACAGACACACAAATACCAGTCATGTGAACAGGACCTGGCCCCTGCACATGTGACGTTTGCTTTTCAGTACGGCAAACAGACATTGTTCTTAAAGATTTTGATTTTTCACTCTTGTTTATAAGTCTTTATTTTCTTACTGTTTGTCTTAGTTATCTAGTGCTGCTGTAACAGAAGTACCACAAGTGGATGGCTTTAACAAACAGAAATTTATTCTCTCACAGTTTAGGAGGCTAGAAGTCCAAAGTCAGGGTGCCAGCTCAGTGGAAGGCTTTCTCTGTCTGTTGGCTCTCGAGAAAGGTCCTTGCCGTCAATCTTTCCCTGGTCAAGGAACTTCTCAGCACAGGGACCCCGGGTCCAAAGAGCACATGCTCCTGGTTCTTCTTGCTTGGTGGTAATGAGGTCCCCCCGTCTCTCTTCTGTTTTCCATCTCAAGAGATTGACTTAAGACACAACTTAATCTTGTAGATTGAGTCCTGCCTCATTAACATAACTGCCACCAGTCCCACTTAATTAACATCATAGAGGTAGAATTTACAACACATAGGAAAATCATATCTGATGACAAAATGGTGGACGGTCACACAGTTCTGGGAATCATGGCCTAGCCAAGTTGACACACATCTTTGGGGGACACAATTTAATTCATAACACTATCTCATGGATAATTTCCAGTAACCAGTTCCTGACATTCAGAGCTGTTAGAAATTTGTTTCCAGTCTTCCTTTCTCTTTGTTACTCTTCTCACTGGACCTTTGGTTTTTTTCGACACTGGTTTTCTTAGTCACTTGTGACCCCTCTTTTTTTTAAATTGAGATATGATTCATATACCAGAAAATTCATCCTTTTAAAGTATACAATTCAGTGATTTTTTAAATGTATTTACAAGGTTGTGCAGCCATCACCACTATATAATTCCAGAACTTTTCTGTCACCCCAAAAAGAAACCTGTACCTTTTAGCTATCATCCCCTAACGCACCCCGACACTGACTCCTCCCAGGCCTACGTAGCCACTAATCTACTTTCTGTCTCTATGGGTTTGACTATTCTGGACATTTCACATAAATGGATCATACAATATGTAGTCTTTTGTGACAGGCTTCTCTCAGTTAGCATAATGTTTTTGAGGTTCATCCACATTGTATCATGTATCATAGTATCGTTACTTTTTATGGCTGAGTAATTCCATTGTGTGTTGTTGTTAGGTACCATTGAGTTGGTTCCAACTCATAGTGACCCTGTGTACAACAGAACGAAACACTGCCCAGTTCTGTTCCATCCGCACAATCGTTGCTGTTCATTGTATGGATGAACCACATATTGTTCCTCCATTTGTCAGTTGATGGCCATTTGGGTAGTCTCTGACCACATCTTTTATGATGTTTCCTCCTCTTTGCTCCTGTTCAATAATTCCCTCTGCTCTATTCATGTTCTTCCCCTCACAGTTTTACTTACTCTTTGTCTTAGTCATCTAGTGCTGCTATAACAGTAATACCACAAGTGGATGGCTTTAACAAAGAGAAGTTTATTCTCTTACAGTCTAGTAGGCTACAAGTCCAACTCCAGGGGAATGCTTTCTCTGTCAGCTTTGGAGGAAGGTCCGTGTCATCAATCTTCCCTTGGTCTGGGAGCTTCTCTGCGCAGGAACCTCAGGTCCAAAGGATGCAGTCTGCTCCTGGAACTGCTTTCTTGGTGGTGTGAGGTTCCCATGTGTGTCTGCTCACTTCTCTCGTTTATATCTCAAAAGAGATTGGCTTAAAACACTGTCCAATCTTGAATACCTCATCAGTATAACTGCTGCTAATCCATTTTATTAGGTCATAGTGATTAAATTTACAACACATGAGGAAATCACATCAGATTACAAAATGCTACACAGTTATACAATAATAGGAATCATGATCCAGCCAAGTTGACAGATATTTTTGGGGGACACAGTTCAATCCATGACCCTCTTTAAGGCCCAGCTCAAGCTGTGTCTCCTCCCTGAAACCTTACTAGAGCACTCGAGACTAATAATTCCTCGGCCCTACCCCCAGCCCCCCAATCTGCCCTTCTCAGAAGTTCTGGAGAAGGATTATCTGTAGCTTATAGAGCAGCTAATCATGTGGCCTCATGGATTTGCCTAAATATTTTTGTTTTACATTGTTATTTTACTTTGAAATAGTTCTTAACCTTAAAGCCGTGTATTTTCTTTCAGGTTAAATTGTAAGCGTCTTTTAAAAAACGGATCATATGTAATAATCTCACTAAATGCCCTGTGGTGCTTGTACATTGTTTTGTATAGACTAAGCATTCAAATTTAACATACAGACTCCACTTGCCCCTGCCAGCTGTA